CCGGCCGGTGGCCCTGGCCCCACGCACCCACACCGCCCAGGGCGGCGGCTCCAGCGGCGGACACGCAGGCCCCGGTGCTGGTTCTGGTTCCCCTTCACCCTGAGTAGAGGCCCTGCTTTGGGCTGCGGGTCTCACGCTGACCTGGGTTGGTTCACCCATCACTTTTCTCCAGCGCTCAATTGGAAAGCAGCCGTCTGTCCTGGACCACCCCGACCCCTCGCTTCCAAAATACCGATTCGTGAATGTTCTTCAGGTCCTTGTTCTAAGAGGGATCTTAGCCTGAGAGACATGACTGAAGAGGAGTTCTCTTCCCACTGAGACGAGGCGGTTCACGGGCTTCCAGGCCCCGCTTTCCTGCGGGACACTGGCCCACCCTCGACATCTGGAGGGGTTTCCTCACGGTCAAAGGCCATGAAAGTGGGGCAGGGAGAAGCACGTGGGAAGTTCTGTCCCCGACCGGCCGATGCTGGATAAACTGTCTACGCCCCTGTCCCTGGAGCCTGTCCACGCGGAGGGTGCAACCTTACAAGCCGCACGGAGCCCCGTCTGCCCGAGGGCCGGCCCTGCCCGCCGTCCTCTGGGCCGGGCGGAGCAGCACAGGGCACCGCGCTGCCAGGGCACTGAGGGCTCTGCCCGGGGGGACGGGCACGCACAGGAGGTGGAAGCAGGTTCCGTGCGTTGTCATAGCTCTTCCTCCTCCTCCAGCAGATCCGTCAACACCCATAAAAACCCACAAACTGCGTCGCTCAGCAGTCTTCCTGACAAACACATAATTTTTCTGTTATAAACGGCTTATCATTTCCAGATAAAAACACGGTTCCAATCCACGAGACGTGCTTACCGTTCAAACTCATATTCTCCCAGAAAAGCTTTTTGAAGATTCTTAGAAGCTGCTTTAATCCACCTCGAAACCAACACATCTGCCTTGGGGCGGCCCGACTCAGAACCGATGGTGTCACAGTGGGGGGCACGCGGAGCTGGAGGCGGTGAAGCCTTCCTTGCACGTAGCCGACTTCCTCTCCGCCCCCCGCAAAGCCGTCCACGCCCACGCGGAGGGGTGAGGCCGAGGCCCCACGGGCGCCCCCTCGCGTGGACATAGAAATCACATCGGCAGCGAAAAAGGCTCATTTCTTGCATCCTCCCTTCTGCTGCCCGACACCCCGTCACCTCCGACTAACGAGGCTGCGATTTACTTGTAAATCAGGATGTGGCTCAGGAGCACCGCCTGCGACCTATCACTTCCCTGTGCGTCAGGGTGGGCGCTGCCATCCGCGCCTCCACGTCCGCATGCGTTCGGTGGGTCTGCGGGGAGCTCTTCCCCTCCCTGGGGCGAGTCAGGGGCCGGGGAGGGAAGAGGAAGAATGAAGCCAGGAGAACAGGGATGAGGGCCCAGTCCTGCCAGCACAGGGCCAGCTCCAGGCTGAGCTGTTTCTATGTGAGCAGCTGACGGGGAAGAGGTACCTTCCTTCTGAGTTTGATGATGAGGAGCTTGGAAATCTGCCTCCGTGGTCCTGGGCGGGGGGCCGGGGGGCGGTGGAGAGGAGCCGGCTGGTTCGAGGCTGAAATCTGAAAAACGATGGCACAGGGTTCAGCTCCTGCGTTCCCCTAAAGCCCGCCCGCTGCCCCTGAGGGCGTGGAAGAGCAGGGAGCTCCTTACCTGGGACACACTGCACCGCCTCTTCCTGGAGAAACCAAAGCACTTTAGTGAGTCTTACAGCCCGAAATGCGTGGGGGGTCTGGTCCCCGCCCCCCTGAGGGGGCTGGAGCGGGAGGGCTGGGGTCCCCGGCTCATGGCAGAGGCAGGTGAGCAGGAGGGATTGCGGAGTGAGGACGCCTGCTGTGCAGCCCGGACGGGCCGCTGGACTGTGCTGAGCCTCGGGCTCCCCAGGGAGGGTCGGGGTCCCGAGAGCTGCCCTCTGGGGCCGTGTGGAGAGAAAGCGGGTAGCAGAGGGGGTAACGGGCTTTGAAGAAAGGGGGGCCGTGGCGGGAGACGGGGCGCTGAGTCAGCAGGTGGCCGTGCACCGCGGGGTTCCTGGCAGGACTGGCTCGAGCCCGCGTGTGTCTGGGGCTCCTCCGCCAGCTGCTGCGGCTCCAGGTGCGTGTGTCCGGTGATGCACCACACGGAGGCGCTGACGTGTGTGCATGGGGCGGGGCGGGTGCATGTGTGCGAAGGTCTGCGGCGTGGTGAGGAGGCAGGACAGGAGCCCGGCTCTGACCCGGTTCTGAACCTGGTCCTGTGGCTTTGGGGGTGGCCTGACTTCGCTGGAACTGTCTGGTCTGTAAAACGGGGACGTTGTGCTAAATGCCTCTGTGGCTCCTCCAGCTCCGTCACGTATGTCTGTGTATGTAAATATGCTTCGCGTAGCCACGGGCCCGCTGGACGTTGGCGGCAAGGCCTGCCCAAGTGCATTTATCGTGTCTGAAACAGAACATTCACCAAGTTCATGAAATCCTGTTGGCAAAGTCAATGGTTGTATTTAATGTCATTGTTTGAAATTCACTGTTTAACTGGATAAAAGATTGGTGCCGTTTTGAACATGGAGTTCTTAGCTTACGCGTGTTTGCTGTTGAAAATGTTTAATAAAGTTCATCTGTTATAGTCGGAAATGCAGCGACTCTGTCCGTGGGCAGGGCCCGGCAGCCCGTTAGAAGGAGGCTGGTCTGTGCCTGGGCCTGTGCACAGCTGGGTGGCCAGTCAGCCGTCCCCACGGGGCCCGGACGGCAGGCAACCAGAGGACCCCCTGGCACCGGAGCAATGGTCGCGTAGACTGGGGCCGCGAGCCACGAGCTGCTGCCATTTCCGTGTGAGACATTGTCTGCGGCACACGAGGTGCACAGTGTTGTCAAAGGAGATCCTGGTGTTTAAGAAGATCAAATGGTGCATTAAATGTTCACTTTCATTCTGCCGAGTCACGAATTCCTCCTTATCCAAAGTCGTGTGTGTGTGTGTGTGTGTGTTGAGGGGGGTGTGGTTGGCCCTTCTGTGTCCAATAGAGTCAGGTGCTGGGCTGTGGTCACACAGGGCAAGTGTCAGACAGCGTGGTGTCGATGTGGTGAGAACATGTATCTATCCTTACCCCAGGAAATTCATTATGTGTTTTTAAAGAACAAAAAGTATAAAAGCCAAATTTGCTTTCCTACTGGTTACAAAAGATTTTTAATATTTTTACTTTTTATCCTCACCTGAGGATGTTTTTGATTTGAGAGAGAGAGAAGAAGGGAGAGAAAGAGAAACTTCGATCAGTTGCCTCCCATACATGCCCCGACTGGGGGGTCGAATCGCAGCCTAGGGATGTGTCATGACTGGGAATCGAACCCACAACCTTTTTGGTGCACGGACGACAGTCCACCAGCTGAGCCACCGGCCAGGGCTTCACTGTGGTGACATTCTTGTTGGCCTAGCGACACGCCCTCCGCCCATATCTTAGGGGCCCCACGGAGTAGAGGCAGCGCTCTGGGCCCGGACTCACGGCCCTGTCCCTTCTGTGCTGGTCTCAGCTGTGGCTCAGGTGGGAAAGCGAAAGCAGATCGGAGGTGGGAGAGGCCTCGCTGCCTCCTGGACACGCTCCGCCCGCCCCCACTTCCTGTCCCCGCAGCACAAGGCACTTTCCAAGGCGCTGGCACCACATCCACCCCCTGCCCCCCTGAGCTCACAGCCCAGGACAGGGCCAGGGCCTCAGAGCAAACACGCCCTCCTCCTGGCCTGCCGGGACCCCTCCCACTCTGCGGGGCTGGGCTGGACAGTGTGCCTCAGTCCCCACACCCCCCAATCCTAGACAGGACCCTCCTGGGCTCCCCTTGAGCCACTGCAGCAGAAGCACAGGATTTCCTGGAAATAATTCCTTCACAGAGGAGCAGTGGAGGCCCGCCTCCCTGGCCATGCCCCGGGGGAGACATCCAGGCAGCAGCTGGAAGGGGCCCCACCCTCCCTCTCCCTTAGGAACAACCGTCCACATCTATGACCCGAGCTGTACTGTCCCTTAAACCACGAAGCTCTCAACATTGTTATTAGTATTATCTTCAGTCTTTTCACGCTTTCAATCCTGTCTTTTGCCTCTGGGGGGACATGGGCACCGCCCACGGGCACTCCCTCCAGTGTCCCTGGGCGTCCAGCGGCCCCTGGGCGTGCAGCGGTCCCTGGGCGTCCAGCGGTCCCTGGGCGTCCAGCGGTCCCTGGGCGTGCAGAGGACAGAGCCTCAG